TTCCCAAATTCCTTTTTGATGTGCAAGTCCTTTCACGCCTTAGGGAAGCACACAAGAAAGCATGGAAGTACTTCAAATATTAATAAACAGGTGCTGGAGGCTGGTATTATAGGCCAACTGGATGTAGGAGGAGGTGGTGTCTTAGTGATGAATCAGAAATGCTAGGGCAGGGGGAAGGCACATCAGGAAAGGTTGGGATGATGCAAAGTTTGAAGTGACACAGCAAGGGCAATTGCACCCAAAAGGTTATCTGTCCAGAATCACTTTGAATAGACTTGAAAGGTGCAAGACTGCCTTTGTGAGAACCCACAGATAAGGAAGCAGGACAATGCCTATGTGGAATAGTTTGGCTGAAGTAATGGCTAGGAAAGTACATATCTTTGATATGATATACAGAAGAAACTCAACAAGGTGTGATGTCAGAACTGGATGTGGGGATGTAAGGAGAGTAAAGAGTGTGAGACCATGCATAGGATCACCTTGCTATAGCTGCACTGAGGATGAGCAAGGCTAGTTTTCCTCATAAAGATCTAAATTAAAGGATTATTTGGAATAAAATGGGATCTAGAGAAGTTGACTTTTGAGTTGTCCACATAGAAATGATATTAAAATACATGTTTACCTACATTCAGCAAAACAGGGAAGAGGTATATAGAGCAGGGAAATGGGCCAAAGACTGAAGTCTTGTGACAAAGCTTGGCTGGGGTGGAGTCTTTTCCAAAGAAGTAATGATTGGAGAGATAGGATAAGAAACATGGAGACAATCACAGGAGCAATGAGAGACTAGATTTCACAAAGAGTATTCTCATGGCACTGCAGTCACCATTAGCTTCAAGAGATGTTAATGGTGTTTTGAGTTGCATCAGACTTTCCATGGAACCTGGGAGCCAGAGGAAAGACTGGAAAGTGTTTAGGAGAAAATTGAAGAAAAGGCTTTACAAATAATGATTGCAATTGACCTGATGCCCAGATTGTGATGCTAGAAGGGAGCACTGCAGTCATTTCAAGAAGAGGGAAATAATAGATGGATATGGATCTGTACTTCAACAGGACTTACTTTGTCTACCTTTGAAAGATGTGAACTACCCTAATGACTTTCAAAATGTTGGTTTGTAGAAATACAGTGACTTTAGTGCTGATGATCAAGCACTTCTGCACCTCGAGCTCCCATTTACATTAGTAGTTAATCAAAGACAAGGCAGGAAATACAGAAAGTTCCTGATTCTTGTGAAAACCCTTACGTTTCATCACAGGACACTTCTGAGAATGTTCGGGGCACCTCTGAGAAAGCACTAATAGATGCAGAATCTATATAGTGTAGCACAGGCCCACAGAAACAACTAATTCAATATAGTTCTATATTTAATGTGGTTCAGCTACAGAGCAACAACACTGCAGTGTGGAAAATCACTGGCAGACTTACAGGGATATGCATATTACCCAGTATGACAGAACCAAAGGATGAAAAATTAGTCTTGGACTTTGGTAAAGAGTAGGGAAGTCAAAACAAGCACAAAACTGAAGAAATACAAAACTTCATCATGGTTTAGACACGGATGCTTTAGAATTTGGAAAGGTCATCATAAACTACAAAACCTACAGAAATGTCACTTCCTTGCAATGAGCTAAACACAAAGATACATTTTTAAAAAGAAATTGGAAGCTTCTGCTCAGTCTTTTAAAGCAAAAGAAAAACTAGCAGCTGGCAGAGAAGAGTGAAGCAAAGGGCAAAAAGACTGAAGAACAAAAGTCTTCATGGACTGATCTTTTTTTCTTTTTTTTTTTTCATTGTGTGAAAGCAATTTAACAAGTGAAGACTTGAACATATTTGAAGATATTTTACTTTACCAGATCAAAACTATAAGGCAGCTGAAATGGCCAACAGACCAGTTGAAGCCTGTTGGTCCTGAGTAACAACATGAAATGTTAGGTTTAGTTGCTGTACTGGTTTGAGTGCACTGTAGCATCATTGATAATACAGTTTCAGATACATCCTCTCTTTGGTATCTTTGCTTCACACTGGCTTTTTGGTTTCTATTACCTTATGGCAGAGTTTCTCACTTTATTCTGATTTTTACTAGTGCAAGACCAGTGAGCAGGGCAGGGTCCAGCTACCTGCTGCATAGCATTATCATGGCCCTATTTGTAATAAAACAGGGAAGAGGAAGCAAAAACCTAAGCTGATGAAAGAGTTCAGCTGGCTGGACAGATGGGAAAGGCTATTTTCTCTGGTATGTTCAGCAAAAAGATCCAGCAAGGTGTGATTCATAGCTTGGATATGAGTACCGTATGTAGCATGTGATCAAAGAGAAAGTTAATCTCTTATAGAATACAGTTTCCTTCACCTTGATCAGTTAACTTCAGATAACCTGACTGACTCTAACAGTTTGTTAATCTGGAATTTTTTGCCCCACCCAGACCTGTGCCACTACATTGACCATCAGAGTGCTTTACTAGCTCAGCTGCTTTCCTTCCTTGGAACCCTCCCAAATTAGCCTCTCTTGAGGGCTTAATTTCCATAGTACACCATACTCAGACCAGAAGCGGAGCACTAACCTTCATTAATTCAGCATGTCCAGCTGGACTTGAGATGTTTTTTTCACAGGCCAGCATAATTCCCCTCAGATTCAAAACACTTAAAGGAATGTGTAAGACTGATAACAGACCTAAAGGCCTGGTATTACCGTTACCAAACCTGCTCTGGTCAGATACCAGCAGCTGCTGGGACTGCAATCAAGGGCACCCCACTCATGGGCATTGGTAGCATTAATGGCAGCCACTTTTGTCTCTGTGGCAGCTGTCTGCCTGCAGGACACATGCCTCGATGTCTTCTCTTCCACTTTCTTCGTGTATTCACACCTCTAGACTGGATTCCTCACCCTTCTGGAATGTGGCTGGGACATTCATCACAGGGAGCTGCTGCCTGCTGCCTGAATTCAGTTCTCATCCTATGACTCCTGCCACAGTCTGGGAACACTGTCTTGCCCCTTGGAAGTCCTCTCCATGCTCAGCAGGCTGAACTGACCTGTCCTTTCCCCTGCCTTTATGTTTACTTGGCTGGGATTCAGTCTTGTCTGCCAGGTTTGCTAAACACTCTGCTCTCCATAATCTAGGAGTACTCAAGGCTCCAGTAGTATCTTTAACAGGTGAAAAACACCCTGCTCTGAGAAGAGTTGCAGGTGTAACTTGTCTCCCAAACTTATTTTCTGCTTTTGTTCTTTTAACTCCTCTGAACCTAGTTCCTGCAGCTACCTTGACCAGGCCTTTACTAAACCTTTCCTTTCGCTTTTGCATGAAACACTTACAGACTGAGGAACTCCGCCTTGTGCATGTGTGCAGGCATCAACCATGACTGAGCAGGGTAAAAAGATCACATTTAATATTTGTAAGGGGTAATTCAGATACGTTTTCATAGAATTATAGAATGGGTTTGGGTTGGAAGGGACCTTAAGATCATCCAGTTCCAACCTCCCTGTCATGGGCAGGGACACCTCACACTAAACCATGTCGCCCAAGGCTCTGTCCAACCTGGCCTTGAACACTGCCAAGGGTGGAGCAGCCACAGCTTCTCTGGGCAAACTCTGCCAGCACCTCACCACCCTCACAGGGAAGAATTTCTTCCTTATATCTAACCTGAAGTTCCCCTGTTTCAGTTTGAACCCATCACCCCTTGTCCTATCACTACAGTCCCTGATGAAGATTCCCTTTTCAGCACCCTTGCAGGCCCCCTTCAGATATTGGGAGGCTGCTCTGATGTCTCCACTCAGGTTTTCTCCAGGTTGAACAGCCCCAACATTCTTAAGCTGTCTTTGTATGGGAGGTATTTTCTGCTTCCAACTCCATCTACACCCCTTCTTATGGCACTTCCGCGTTAACATCATCATCCCACAGGTTCAAAGCGGCTTGAGAAGCTGGGGAGCTCCCACGGTTGAGGTCACTAAAGCTGACTCTGCTGTAGTACCTCAGCTGTCCTAGGGCATTGCCCCTGGCAGTGTGCTCTGACTCCCCTCAGGTATACCAAAACAACCACACCGGGGAAGGCACAGCCTGATGCCTCCGTGGGGTATCAGGGTACATGCTCACACCAGAGCTGCGTGCTGCTCCCTTGCGACGTGTCTCTCCTGTCAGAGACAAACATCACTCCCTCATTGGGCCCTATCTTGCGAAGTCCCCGGGACGATTACGCGGACCCGCGCTACGCGAGTTGGGCGCGATGTTTTCCAAGGAACACCTCGACTTTTGCTCCCAGACTTTGGTTCCCTCACAGGGGTCGAAGACCCGGCTGAGAGCGCGGCCAAAAGCGACACCGGCCAGGCCGCAGCGGTGCGGCGAGACACCGCTTCCCGCAGGGGGCAACAGCGAACCGTCGGGGAACGGAGGGATAGGGACGGGACAAAAAGGAAGGCCAGACCCGGCGGTACCCTTCCTCCAGCACCCCGTCCCTGCCCGAGCCCCTGCCCGAGCCCCTGCCCCTGCCCCTGCCCCTGCCCCTGCCCCTGCCCCTGCCCCTGCCCCTGCCCCAGCCCCGCCCGCACAGCCTGCCAGACCCGCCCCTGGTCCCTCCTCCTACCGAGGAGGCATGGCTCCCTTGGCACCGGCTTCCCGGAGACCTCGCTTTGTGCACGGCGCCTGCGCAGCCGCCACCGGCGCGCCTGCGCCGTAAGTGCGGGCAGAGGGTCCGGAGTGGAATTGCGGTGGCCGTTACTGGCGGCGTTCGCAGCGGGGCGGCGCGGTGGGGATGAGCCTCCGCCCGGCCCGGCTCAGGGGACGCGGGCGGAGGGACGCCGCGGGCCAGGCCGGGCCTCCAGCAGCCTGCTGCTGTTCGCCACTGCCGTCCCGCAGTCGAACGGCTGCGGAGCTCGAGGAGCGCCGCTGACCGAAGCCGCCCGCTCGGGCCCTACCGGGCCCGGGGCGAGGGAGGGAGGGAGGGAAGGAGGGACACGCAGGTAGTGGGGCGGCCGCGCCCCAGCCCGAGCTCCTCGGAAGGCGGGGGGAGCGGTTGGGGCGGCCCGGCCTCTCTTTCCTCCGGTCCCGTCTCCTCCCCTTCGTTCCCCCGCTCGCTGGTTAGGCAGGCGAGGGAGTGCGCGGCCCGGCGCCCTCGGAGAGGATGGTGAAGCCGCCCGCAGCTCCCGCGCCGGGCCGGGAGGCGGCCGAGCCGAGCCGGGCCCGCGCCGCCGGGGCGCTCCGCAGAGGCTAAGGGATGAGCCGTACCCCGCGGGGTGGGCGCTAGCGGAAGGATGACCACTCCCGCCTTGCTGCCGCTCTCCGGGCGGAGGCTGCCCCCTCTGAACCTGGGCGCCTCCGCCTTCCCGCACCACAGGGCTACCTTGAGACTCTCCGAAAAATTTATCCTGCTCCTGATTCTTAGTGCCTTCATCACCCTGTGCTTCGGGGCTTTCTTCTTCCTCCCCGACTCCTCGAAGCACAAGCGCTTTGACCTGGGCTTGGAGGATGTGCTCATTCCTCACGTGGACACCAGCAAAGGGGGCAAGAACCTCGGCGGCTTCCTCATTCACGGGCAAGAGCACGACGAGCACCGGCACAGGTAAGAGCCTGGCTTGCCGGTGGAGACAGAGCGGGCTCCCCTTGGGAGCGGAACCAGGTGGAAGGGAGATCCCTTGAAAAAAGTCCTTCCCGGATCCCTGTCGCTCCTTTCCCTGACGTGCTTCTGTCGTCCTAACGAGTGTCAACTTCTGGGCTCTAGCTTTGTGTCCTCCAGCTGCCATATGTAGCTGTGGTTTCGTGTTTTCTTTACCACTGTGAATTTAACCTCCCGGCTAAAGAGGGCTGGGAGGATAAAATACTGGTTTGTTTTCTCACCCTAGCCAATTCCCAGGGTCAGTCGTGGGAAGAAGGGGGTTAAGTTATGGCATTTGTGGAGGCAGTATATATGACTGAAAAACCGCCGCATCTTTTCTATAGATGTTATGTGCTTACTTAAAACCAGCTGCTTGTTGCTGAATAGTGTAGCAAGAACTTTGATGTGACAGACTTCATGCTGTGACCCTGAGGCTGTCAGCTTGTGATGTGCAGGACACAGAACTAGTGTAGATGGCTCGGTCCCCTTTTCTGTCCCTTAAAATCACTGTTATAACGCTATATCCAGACAGCTGGAGACGCCGGTGTCTGAGTTTCCATAACTGTGTTTGCCAGTGTGAAGAAATTGAAGGTAATGAAGAGTAAGAAGGGTAAATGTCATGCTGCTGATAGCTTTTTGGGCTGCCTAAAGCTTTGTGCAGCACAAGCCTCTAAATGTTAAAGGCAAAGTTGTGTGAAGTTAAGCCTTCAACTCTCATTTTTTAAATCTGTTTTATACATTGTCTCCTTCCAATGTACATGAGGATGTAGATGCCCTGCAGTCTCCTCAATTTATCAGATTTTTTTTTTTAAAAACACAAGATTATCTGTAAAATAAAAATTGAGCAGACTTGCTTCTTTAATGATGTGTCAAGCAGCTGCTCTTTATATTAACTTACTTTAAACGCTTAAATCCTACCATAGTGCATGGGTCATAGTGAAGCTGACTGATCTCTCTTCACTGTCCAAGATGTGAAAATGTGATCATTATGGGTGATAAAATATAAGCTCTTCATACTCAAATTAGTAATACAGTGAAATTTAAAGAAAGGTGGCTTATGCTGATGGCATTTCCTTTGAGAACAGTTTAAAACATATCCTGTTGACTTAATTATTTAAAGGTTATCTGTGCTAGATTAAAAGGAGAGGGTGTAAGTGCCTCTCTGCTCATCTGTTATGAGTTATAAAGACTACCTGAATACTGTGGTATTTTTTCTTAAGGCATCTTTGCTGTTGGATGCCTTGTGATACTTATGAGCTCTTTCTCCCTAACTGAAGGGGTATGGATGCTTAATATTTAACAAGAACTTCTTTTGTCTATGGCATTAATTGCTTGTGCGGTTAAATGTTGCACAAAACATAGGTTTAGGGACTCTCTAATGTGCTCTTGAAGTTCTCATTCTTTTTTTTTTTTTGATGATCTGAATTCTTAGCTCCCCCCATCACTGTGGTACATGCATTCAAAATCAGGTTCTAAAGTAGAAGACAGGTGCAACAAAAGAAGGAAGAGTTCAGAAATGTTCAGAACTCCAGCTGTGACTGTTCTACCTTGTTGCTCAGTAGGTGGGCCACAGAAAATGAAGTTTACCGATACCGATAGTTCTGGAGTGATGCTCTTGATTAACCCACTTACATGTGTCCTTTTCGGGTTTCCTCTTTAAGTATAATTACTGGGGCTACAGCTTTAGTAGTGATATGCATGCTATTTTTCTGTCATACATGGATAACCAGTAACTTGCAACTGTTGGAGCTAAATGTGTTTTGCTTGTTTGGGATCTGCTCTTAAACAAAGTGGTTATCCTGTCATCAGTTAACTCTCCTGTGGTCCCTCCATTAACTATGAATGTGTGTACCTTCCCCTACCCCACCACCTAAAATTGCCCCTCTCATGTACAGTTTTTTGTTTTGTTTTTTTAATTTGAGCAAAAATAGATACTATTCCTGTTGTTTGAGCCCTGCAGACCACTGGGTTACTCCAGGGAAGTCTTAACTACTAAAAAAAGCCTGCTTGTAAGACACTTGTGTGAATGTCATGTTAATCAATGTGAACCCAGGTGTTGTGCTTTGTTTCTGGAGCAGCTTTTTTGGCTTATTACCACATAGTCTTATCAACAGGCCATTTGCTAGCTTTGAGATGATGCAGTGACTGTTTTACATAAAGGAAAATACGAATTGCCATTTTCATTGTTGAGTTCCTACTCCTGGGTTGTAGGGACATTGACAGACAGTATTTTGAGAAAGTATAGGGTCTTCAGTAGTGAATTCTAGGTTGTTACCTCAGTTTGAGAAGGGAAAAATATTCAGATTACCATCAAGGAGCAAAGTCAAGTGTCAATTTAAGTGTTGTTTTTTGAATGGCACTGAGGAGATACAGTACATAAGATCAAGAGAAATTAACCTACTGTGAATACAAAGAATAATGTGGTCTAAGATCTGTACCGTGATGTTGGATTGACAAACTGTATTTACAAGAATTGTAGACTTCAGAAGAAATTGGATTGAAGGTCATTCATATGAAGTATACACTTGATCATGAAATGACAGGTATTGATTTAGTGACTGGAGGAAAGTGTTTTCTTCTGTGAATGCTGGTTTTGACCTCTATCAGATTATTTAAACCCACATACCATTATTGTGTTGCTCCCTTGGTATATAGGCTATAATAATTTAATGCTTATTTTCTCCTACCCCTCAAATTTTGAGCTTAGTAGGCTATTGGAGCATATTCGTGTTTCTGTCTTCTAGCAAAATACAGCAATGATATAGGTAGAGGATTGTCATGCAGCTGTGATTTACTGTTGGGTGCACAAGCAATGTTTCTCACTGGATGTTTTCTGTATTCCTCACATTGCTTTCCCACCTCTTTTCCTAGGCCCCCTTGGCATTCTTGAGTGTTTTTATAATTATTGTTAGCTCTTGGCAACATTAACTTTGCATCTGCCATTAAGCTGTTGTTTTTTACTGTTCTTGTCCTTCTTTACTTCTCACCTTCCAGGCATCAAAAGGCAGGGAGATCCCACTCTCTTCCTGATAAAGTATTCTTTCAAGGATTACAGTGTCCTTGTCCATCATCCAAAGAAAAACAGCTTTCTTGTAAGAAGGTGGTTAAAATCTGGAATAAAACTGCAGTTTATATTTTGGGAAATGAATGGGCAGCAGTGCAAGTTAATACTCATTTTTAGCTGTTTCTTTCATGGGTAAGCTCTTCATTTACGCTTGCAGGATAATGGGGAATGGGTTAGTAATGTTGGGGAGGTGTACCACAAAATTTTGCCTCTGGGGAGAAAGTGGAAGAGACTAGTCCAGGACTTGTGAAGATGCGTGCATATACATGCTTTTTAAAAATCTATTGCACTTCCAGAAGATGAATTTCTCTTCATTTCAAATAGGATATTTCAGATATTCTGGAATGAGAGCGGCACAGTTTCGAAGACGCATCTTGCCAGGCAAACTTATGCATCACTCAAAATTTGTTACGCTGTTTCAGATAACTGTTACTTCTCAAAACATCTGCATCTCCCCTGCTGCACAGAAACATTTCAGGTGTTTCTCACTGCCCAGTTATTTTCCAGCTCTCTCTATGTTTTATTCTTCCGTGCCAGGTCTGAAGGATAGCTTTGGAAGGAGAACAATATATTCTTACGGTTTCTTGGCATCTAGTGTAAACGAGTGAGGATGTAGATGCTCTGTAATCTTCTCAGTTCATCAGATCTTATTTAAGAAATAAGATTATCTGCAAAATGAAAATTGAGAAGACTGGCTTCTTTAATGATATATCAAGCAGCTGCTCTTTATATTACTTGTCAAAAGTTAAGATCATTCCTGTGGTAAAAGTACATTAATCTTAGAGGCAACATAATTTTATGAGCTCAAAGCTGCAATGCCACTTTTTAACAGCACTTGGACTACTGTTGTGCCACCAATTCAGTCCTTAAGAATTTGCAGAGCTGTATCTTCAGCTGCTAAATTCCTCTGTATTCCTTTAAGTTATATCTCCTGCTTAAGCTTAAAAACAGCCCCCAGACTAACCCTCATCTCGTCGCATTGATAGCAGGTGCTGCTAATACAACTGGCCACCTCGACTGCCTTGGCCTCTATGTGTGAGTATGTATATATCAGTGTGAATCATGCCATTGACTTTGTTTCTGTGAAGTTAAGGAATATTGGCTCCTGTGTTATGCAGAGATAACTGCCAAGCAGTTTGATAATGTCCAGTTTTGGGTCAGCAGCGCTATGGCAGTAGACTAAAAGTGCTCTTACCTCTGTTGCTTAATACATGTTTGTCTCTACAGCAGTAGCAGCTGCTGTCTCTACTCTTAAGAGGTGAGGTGAAAGTAACAAAAATGATTCTCAAGAGCTTTCAGTTTTAATTTCTTCTTTTAAATCCTGTATTTATTTATTTCAAAGAAACATGAAAGACTTTATATGCTTCTTTTGAATACCTTTATCTTCTCTGGTCTATGACTTAATTAGCCATAGTAGAAATGGGAAGCAGAGATAATTTAACCTCTTACTCAGTGGGATCAGTGTCTCCTGTTATCCTCTGCCATGCCATCAAGTATAAAAGTGCATAAAACTCTGCCCTTCCTTTCCCACCTTTACTTGAGGCACAGCTCATTAGTGTAATTAAGACTATTTGCTATTCTGAGACTATTAAGACTACTTGCTATTTGTGATTCTAAGAACCTAGGTCTTTTCTGCTGAAAAATCAGGAGCCACTTTAGTGGCTGGGCCCCAGCTCCTACTCTATCCAATTTTTCATTGCATGAAATTGAGCCTGTCTTCAAAGTAGACTTCACAGTCTGTCTCTGGGCTCTGAGTTTAAGCTGAGGTGCCTGACGTGGAAGCAAGAGGTTTTTAGGGTCAACATGCATAAGATGCAGGTCCTCATGGTGAACTGAAATGGGCACGTATGGAGCTGAAATGGGCAGGTGTAGTATGCGCCAAGTCAGGGTTCAGAAATATCTG